AGCAGTGCTGCAGCTCACCTTGGAGGGGGAGAGTGAGGCTGAAGAGGCACCTTCCGCCTCAGTCCTCCTCCTCCTTCCCAACCCCGCGGCCCTACGGCGACGGCGGGGCCATGGGACAGGCACATGCTGAGAGCCGGGGTGTGAGCGCCCGGCTCAGCCCCGTCAAGGGTCCGCTCCCCCGTACTAAACAAAAGCGCGGGGGAACAGCCTTGCCGCCTAAACCCGCCCTCCCTGCCCCGGTCCGTAGCTAAAACGTAACTTTTTTGTGCCCACCTAGCATCCCAGCGTCCCGGTCCCGCGCTCGGGAAGGGCAGGGAGAAGCGGGGCGGCCCGCCCGGTGCGGAACCCCCACGTCGGGGCGGCGGGCCTGGGGCTGCCGGCTGGGCGGGAGCGCTGCCGGGAGGTGCCGCCGGGTGAAGGGGCCACGACACGGATGTGCCTCTCTTTGTCTTTTCGAGGGTGTGCGTGTGCACATGGAAGGGGGGCACCGACGGTGCTTGTGCGTGTGTGCACTGTGTGGGCGGTCGCAGCACGCGTGGGTATCTTGCGAGTTTGTGCACTTTGAGTGTGAGTGTGGTGTGCATACCATGAGTGTGCACGGTGGGCAGCTCCCAGCCATCAGGAGCTGTCCCACCAGGCCTGAAAGATGTCCTAATTGCTGCTTACTTTCTTTTTTTGTTTGTTCGTTTTTCCTTAAAAGCAAAAGAAACCTTGAAAAAGTTACTAGGAATTGGTAGTCAATAACAGCCCACACCCAGTATGGTAGGGCTAGTTTTTCAAAGTCAGAAAACAGAGTATGATCCTGAGATGTGGTGGGATTTTTTTAGAAGAAGGAAAAACAGGATGGGAAGGGCACACTATTTAGCCTTTGGAGTCCTGTTGACACCTTCTACAGTCCGTGCTCACTTATGTCCTTTCCTATTTCCCTTCAGCTCATGCTCATTTCATGCTAGCAAACTCATCTTGTCCTTTTCTTCTGCCCATCTTCCCTAGATTTGAGGCTCATTAAAACCATTCCCTCCTACCCAATGCTGTCAGCCTCAAAATTTTGTTCTTCAAAACATTTTGCAACTCCCCACCCAGGATCAACCTTTTTATCCTCCTGCTCCAGAGAAACTGCTCCCAGCTCTTCCATTGCTGCCTGTGATTTATGTTGCTCTCAAGCATCATCTTCCTACTTTCTGTGGCAATGTACGTGGCTGTTGGTTTTCATTACAGATTTCTGAGGTGAAATAATAATACATAACATAGCGTGACACCAGGCTCGCGAAGTGCATCCTTGTAGTCATTCTTTACTATTCCTTTCACCTTCTTCTGCCCTTCTGCTTTGAGTGGTCTGGAGTAACTATCGTAACACCTTTACAATTTCCTCCTAAATTATTTGCTACACACTGTTTCTCCTTTCCCTCCATTTCTGACTTTTCACTGATCCTAGATTTTTATTCTCTACATCTACACTATTCCCATGGTTGTTTTGTTGATGTTTCCCTTTCCATCTCCACACTTTTGTTTCCTTAATCCTTTGGTTTCATGGTGTAAGAGGAACGACAACTGTACCATAGCCCTTTAATTACTTCCATCCTTATTTTCTCTGTGTTTCACGTGCCTTCTCTTACCAAAGCACAGTAAAATCCAAACAACATGTACTCTTCTGCTAACACATATATAGCTTTTTGCTGGGTCTCTTTCCCAGATGACCCCAAATCTGGTGGAAGACTGTGCATTGTGGCACAACCAGAAAACATCTTACCAAGGGCTACTCTTAGTGGCTTTCTCTGGAAAAGCACAAACTGTACAAGTAGCTCCAGGTTTTGTAGGATTTTGGCTTTGGCAGACATCAAAGGTATGTTTCATGAAGCTATGACTTGCTGATAATTTGTAAGGATATTGACTTGCCTCATGGCCTGCCAGCTGAGCTGGACTTTGTGTGGTAGGCAAATAGGATCACCCATGTCCACTTCTCCACCTGTCCTTGGAAGTTTGAGGCCAAAAATGTCTAAAAAACAATGATCATATATATTGTAATTCTCTAATACTATCTGTATTTAAACAAGGTATGTATCTACCTTATTACTTCATTATGAGTGATAAAGACTAGTTAATCATTGGACCAGGGGTCACCAGTTGCCTACGGCCCTGTAATCATGACCTGATCACATTCAATACACATAAAGAGAGTCACAGTTTATAATATCTAGTGAAGAGCTAAATGATCAAGGATGAGGAAAACAGAAAAATTGTTTGAAAGGACAAAAATGTCAGAAACATTTAAATAAAATTTACTGTGTCTTATAGAAGAGTTTATTTGATGGATAAATGGACATCTGCCATCGAGACAATAAAATTTAGTAGAAATTTCTCTGTGGTTCATTGGCTAGGTAAAGAGAAACATTAAGCAGTAAAAAGGAATATATAGGAAGCAATAAAAAAGGAGCAGTTGATGATAATTAACATGAAATAGAAATTACATAATGTATAAAATTATTTGGAAAAGTCAAAAACATTACTGAAAAATCCGCATCTGGAATGGATGAAATTCCAATAATTTTACAGTAAGGGAGGGATTAAACATCTCCTAATAATGCTCATACACCTGTCAGTAGACATAGTAACATTTTTAATTATGATACAAAATGTACTAATAACGATACCTGTGTTCTGTAAGTGGAAAGATAAATACTGCACACAGAAAATGACCTGGTCTTTGGGCAGCACCTATCTCCAATAAACATTGAATCCTTAGCTCTGGATGCCTTGCACCCTAGCATCAGAAAATACTTGGTACTTCATGTCAGTGATATTCAGTTTAATAAATCCTGGAATGTCATGGAAATTATGAGAATCTATTGCCAACGTTGTGCCAGTATGAAAAAAGGGCAAACAGAATGACCCAGATTACAATACTCCATTTTGCCTGACATTCATCCCTTAAAAAATAGTGGAAAGCCTGACATGGGATTAAACTCAAGGAGAACTAAGGATAAGAATAATGATTCTAAAGCAGCATTCCTTCATCTTTAATTCTTCTTTTTTGCCTTTGTATTTAGATTTCACTGTGGCTGTAGGATGGATGATAACTGGTCTGGTTTGAAGAAAGCCATAACAGTGAAGAATTTCCCCTAGAGTGCCAATATTTACAAATGCCATTTACAAATGGCAGTGACCTAGTCTCTTCTGGCTCCCAAATAATGGGGAAAAGTGGCCTAAACTACATATGTTTAGTTTTTAAATCCTTGATTCCCCCACTGCAGAACCACATTTTTCTTCATTCTTTCAGTCTCAGATATCTGAATCTCTTTCTTACTTCATGTGACTTTTATTTTGCTTCCCAAGTCTTCTTGAGAAAAGGTTTCATCAAAATTCACTCTTGACATAAACTGAGGACTTTTAAGATCAGAAAAGTTCATTAAATCATCATTAAATCAAACTTTTTTTCTCAAACTAGACATAGTTTTTCCTGTATTTATCCTGGTTGGCCATATTCCTCTGAAGTCTGACGTCCAGAAAGGTTTTCCATTTTGCTAAAACATCATGTGATATACAGTCAATGACTTCTCTTAAGAGTGAAGTCAACTACAACACTTGCTGTAAAAAAAAAAAAAAAAAAAAAAAAAAGAACTGTACTTCATTTGAAATAAAAATTTGTTTGGCTTTAGCTTCTAGTTATGTTTTTTAATTAATTTTATGTCTCGCCACCACATTAAATTAGTGTACAACTAATTTTATAAATGGAGGTCTGAAAGCAAGACTGGCTGCACAGGACAGGAAACCTTCCTGCAGAGATAATGTACTTACAGGATTGTTTTAATCTCTTTGAGGGATTACTTACATTAACTTGTTTAAGTTCCATTACATTTACCAAGAAAACATACAATTGCTTGAAGTTTGCTAGCTGAGTGGGTTTTTGGGGCTGTAACACTCATTCAGCATTTGGTTGCCACACTAGTGGCAATGGCCATTTTGAAGCACGTGTCAGTGGAAAGACTGTCACCTCCAAACCCCTGCCTTTCAG